TCGCCGCGGGCCGCGCCGGCTCGTCCGCGGCGTCGTCGTCCGCGGCGGCCGCGGCCGCGACGTACGACACCTGCGGCGCCGCGGCGACCGCGGCGACGTCGACGGCGCCGCCGGCCTCGCCGGACGTGCGGTGGATCATGACGTCGGCGGGCAGGGCCCGGTCGCGGCGCCAGAGCGCGCGCTGCTTCTCGTACTCGGCGACCTCGAAGTCCGCCTCGCGCAGAGCCGCGAGGAGCTCGTTCGCCTTCTTGCCGCGCGTGCCCAGCACGGTCTGGATGCCGGCGTGGTTCGCGCCGCCGACCTCGTAGCGCGCGACGGACGGCGCGGACCGGTGGTCGCGCTTCTTGCCCTTTTTTTTCGCGGGCGGCGCGGCCCAGCCGCACTCGGAGCCGGCCTCGGAGCTGTCGTCGGGCCGCGGCACGACGGCCTGCTCCTCCGTGCCGAAGAAGATGATCATCATCTTCGAGTCGGGCTTGCCGTTCCACATCTTCATCGTGCCCGCGCGCTCCAGCGCCTCGCAGCAGACCCACTCCATGGCCGGCCACGCCGCGTGGCCGCTGAGCTTGACGACGTAGCAGTCGTAGGCGATCATGAGCAGCTCGTGGCCGCTCAGCATGTCGACCTCGTGGATCTCGCCGTCGTCGTAGAGCACGGCGTGGAGCTGCGTCGCCTCGTCGAACCTGCGCGCGGCCGGCGTCTCGAGCGCGCGGAAGGCGGCCGGATCCGGCGCGGCGGCGCGCGAGAGCACGCGCCCGAGGTACCAGGCGTTGTCGCCGGCCCAGTAGTGCTGCGGCGGGGGGCGCGGGTGCGCGCGCGGCCGCGCGGGAGCGGCGGGGCGGCGCCGCGGGGGCGCGCGGCGGCGGCGACCCGAACGCACCCGCAATCGCGAGCCGATGTAGCTCAGCGGACCAGCCTCCGGAATGTCGCGACAAACGGGCACGTCCAAGCGTTCGTCGACGGGCGGCGCCGCCGCGGCGGCGCGGCCCCGCTTCGGCGCCATGGCAGGCGCGAGAAGGGGGTCGCGGAGCAGTCCACCCTCCCTCGCCTTCAAATCGTTGATGTTGGACTAGTTATTGAAGGGGGTGCGCACCCGAAGACCCCGCCCGGAGGCTCAGACGGAGGCGTAGCCGGGGGGTTGGCGTTCCCACACCGGCCCCTTCCTCCGACCCAAAGATCGCGCGTGCACTCGGATCGGAGGTGTGGCGGCGGTACACTCGCGCCAAGCCTGGTACCGACCGCCACGCCGAGAGCACGCCGGGATTGATGTTTGCACGACTGAGGCACGACAGGGCGTTCGGCTGTTTACGGGCAGCCAGCGCGATGGTCGCAAGATTCTCGAGCACCATGCTCTTCGGAAGCCTCGCCGCCGCCGCCGCGACGGACGCCGAGGACGCGCTGGCGAGCATCACGGCGCTGGTCACCCACGACGTCGCCGCGGCCGTCGCCGCGGCCCGAGCCGCGACGTCGTCCTTCGAGTCGGCCTACCCATCCGCGGACGCGGCCCGCCGGCTGTCGTCGTCCTTCGGGGGCTACATCGGCGAGGACC